GTAGAGGGCCGCCTGTAAATGGGCTACATGCGAGTATATAGGGGTCTCATAGTCTAGGGCTCTCCCGTTTTGGGAGTCCTCATAGAAAAAGGTTTTGGAAGCCTCCATGGAGGGTGTTCTGACGGGTTGGGCTTCTGGTTTGAACTCCCCGAGAACAAGTTGTGCCCATGTTCCCTCACTGCAGCCATAGTCTACACTCCTGAAAGGGTGTTATATAGGGGACTATGTAGGGGACGACAAAAGGGGTTATTAACGGGGATGCTAGGAGTTGACAGAAGATGTATGCGGGCTGGGTAGCAAAAGCTCAACTTATAGTCAGGTAGTATCCGCTGAGCTCTTTTGGATACTATTCACCATTCCAGATAACTCTAGTAGCTCTGGTAGATCGTAATCTATACAAAAGTATAATATACCAGAATGTGTAAGAATCTACCATACCATATACCATAATCGTATTTGATTACCACTATATTGCTATTATGCCCAGCGTGTGGGGGACAGGAACTTCTGTTTGTGAATGCTGCGGCGTGGCTGACCATCGCGACTCTTGTTTGCAGCGTAATACCCGTAAGAACGGCCAACGAACCAATTGCTTTGGGGTCAAAGGCTAGGCTCTCCAAGATACCCACAATTGTGGACTGTGTGAGCCATAGTCCTCAGAGGGAGTTATATAGGGGATTACTATAGGGGTCATGAAGGGGGATACTAGGAGTTTAGAATAGGGCTCACGTGCACAGTAGTTTGGCGCTACAAGCTGTCACTATGGGTAAGCTGGATGTGTGAGTCTTGCATGCCCCTAAGGGAGGCATAGATTGACTTGGACCATCGGCCATCTCAGCGCTTGCTAGGTAGGCAAAAGCGTACATCATGGCAAGGGTCTTTTATGATATCTTAGACTTGCTTCTGATAGCTTATGACTGCTTGCGTTCATGGATAGCGCAACGTAACATGCCTAGACTGGCTTGCTGTTAAGGAACTTAGTTTGAGTTACCATAATTTGCATATATATATATAGATTAATGACTACGGTTTCCCCAATAATAATGACTGTTGCCACAATGTCTATATATGCATAATATGGTAATGAATATGGTTTCCCCAATATAGGGACTTAAATTAAGTTCCTTAACAGCAACTCAGTAGAGTTGCCTCTGGTAGCTGGCAGCGGCTTGAGAGCTTGGCCAGTTTCTCAACACACCGCCTGATACAATCCGTAAGAGGCACCTTCTATATAGTCACTGTATAACTAATCATTATCTACTTATTATAATTATATACCTTTCATATACTTATTACTGTATTTTTCTCATGTTACTATTATATAACAGAAGTAATATACTAACAACTTCCCTGGGATCCCAGGACCCCCCCCCATATTGAGCAATCCCTTTGCATGACACTCCATGGCGAATGATGCGCCTGAGAAACAAGGATCGTCACCCGAGAGGCCGGGCAAGCGGCCATTCGCCGGTAGACAAAATTCCCAATATTGTTATTATGAATTCTGAAAATGAGTATTAGTAATCTCAGTCTTATTAATAATATAGCTACTATTATCATCAGTATTACTGTTATTACTAGTATGATTATCATTACGATTATTTACACCATTCTTGTTGCTATTGCTCGGGTAGGCGTCTGAAGTGTGTGCAGGACAGCAAGCATGTTGCCTGCAAGGAAAGCATCACAGTGGCTGCTACACTGTGGGTTTGGCTAGGTAAGTCGGCGTAAAGGAAAGTTAGCGGTGAGCTCGCACGCGGGGAAATTCGTAAGGTGTGTTCTAAAGGGCGTGCAAGGGGAGCCATATCACAGACCATACTCGGCCTGTGTAAGAACCTGACCCTTCTGGTTGTGAAAGTAAACTCTAAATCCTAAACCCAACCCTAAACCCTAAATCCTAACCCTAACCCTACAGCTCAGCTCGGCAGGTCTGGTTGTTCTCCGGTCTACGTGATGGTTCTGACAAGCGGAAAGTGGCCGTGGATGGTCTGCTAGACATGCTGCTGCTTCCTGCTGCTGGGCGGATAATTGAGGGCTTCCAGGATAATGGAGCAGAACATGGACACTACCAAATTATCTCAGGTTATATAGGGGTATGATATAGGGTTATATAAGGATGATGGGAAAGAACACGAGGAGTCCGCTTCTAAGGGTACTTTTTTTTTCTCCTTGGTTTCGATGCTTTTGGAGCTTGCTGCTATACGTGTCTTTGCCTGATGCTTGATCCTTCTGAATATCCTAAGAGGCAATGAAGGCAATTCCCACCCACCTCTGCCAAGCATTGTTTCTTGTATGACTTTGGTCGAGTTGCGTGAAATCCACAATGCTGGTCCCCACCGTGCACTAAAGAAACGCCGTGCCGTACTGTAGTGGCATGGCAACAGGGTGCGTCTAACTTCTGGAAACGCACAGTCTGCATTGCAGAGCATGTTCCGCGGTGATGCCACGAACTCTGAGATGAAATTTAAACGTTGGCGTCTGTGATGGAAATTTCTTTGCTAATGCTCCCAGATTCGAATTATAGCTATCTGCTGCCCCATCGCCTTACTGGGGCTTAGTAGGGAATAAGGGCATCTGTTCCTCAGTTGTTATATGGGATTATATTCCCTTATTCCCTACTAAGGACCCGTAAGCTGTTAATTTCTCTTGTGCTGTCAGCAACTTCTCTTGACGGAGATTTTCCAGCGTAATTTTGAAGCCCATGGACCGATAACTGGTGTCCCTCATCCTTTTGCAGCAGACTCTACTGACTGACAAACGGAGTCTGCAATATCTTTCTTAGCCCCACGGTTCTCAACTACGCAAAGATTATCTTGTAATGTAATAATCGGAAGTATTTGAAAACTAGAGCGCGTGGTGTTGTTTCACATTGGGGCCGGGGTTTTTGACTCAAAGAGATCAGGTTCTGCAATCCACTTCATGTTCAGGGTTTTCGGAGTATAGTCCCCCTTAAATAGATAGAATAATTATTGGGTATATGGGAATGTTATTATATAACATACCCAAAGCCATATTCTATCTACTTAGGGGGGCCTATAGGGAATGCAGACAAGGTGAATATCCCCCACCCCCAAAACAAGTAGGTGAACATCATCTTTTTTTGCACCGTCTGCGTGCGCGTGCTGAAGCTGCAGCCCAACACCGACATGGGAAAGACGCTAAGAGCTGATGGGGTTTTGGGTTTCAGATTTAAGATGTAGGGTTTAAGGTTTAGGGTTAAAGGTTTAGGGCTTAGGGCTTAGGGTTTTGGGGCAGGGTTTAGGGCCTAGGAATTAGGGTTTCAGGTTTAGGGTTTGGGGTTCAAGATTTCGGGTTTAAGGTTTAGGGTTTAAGGTTTAGGGTTGCAACTTCCTTTGAGCTAGGGCCCAATGACAGTCATGCGGGCCTAGCTTCTGGGGTTGGCGTAGGCGAAGTCACTCCCCCATGCTTGTGAAGCATGAGAAGCAAAGAGTCGAGAGAAAGAGAGTAAGCTGGTTGTAGGACAGAGAGAGAGATAGAGAGAGGAGTGGTATAAGGGTTAATCTTTTTAGCAGTATCATTATTCGTACTCTCATTTAAAGATTTTTCATCGTTCCTACGATGATATAGTTTAGGGTTACGTATCATGATTACTACTAATCTTATTATTACTATTACTATTTCTGTGCCTACTGGTGGAGGACCGTAGTTCTTTTTTTTTGAAAGTTTCTGGTCCGTCTGAGGATGGTCCCTGTGATTATCGAAAGCGGCGACATTTACGAAGCCTTTGCTTTATGGTCTGTGCTCGTTCTCTTTGTAAAGGCCCGGTCCAATGCCTTGTTCCCTAAGCCTCAAATCCTTTTTATGATAATAGCAATCCCAATAACAATAATACCCACAATAATCACAATAATCGTCACAATAGTAGCAATCACAATAATAGCAGTAATGCTCACAATAATGACAAGAATACCCACAATAAGAATAACAAGAAGAAGCATTGTAACAGTGAGAATCAATAAGAGCAATGCTTCTTTTGCCAGGTGGTGCAGGCCGAAATGGCCGGAAGCCATTCCAATGCCATGAGCTCCTTTAGGCCATGGAGATTTCGAAAAACAATCTTCTTCGAAGAGTGAGGAGTGTTTGGGGTTGAGGGTTTATAGGGTTTAGGGTGTTTGGGGTTCAGGGTTTATAGGGTTTAGGGTGTTTGAGGTTTATAGGGTTTAGGGTGTTTGGGGTTCAGGGTTTATAGGGTTTAGGGTGTTTGGGGTTTAGAGGGTTTAGGGTGCTTGGGGTTCCGGGTTTATAGGGTTTAGGGTGTTTGAGGTTTATAGCGTTTAGGGTGTTTGGGGTTCAGGTCTTGTCCGTCAGGTCATTCAAGTCCATCGCCCTCCAGGGGGTCAAGGCCTGGGTCTTCATTCAGTCGGCTGCAGTGGTGTTGCAACTGGGACTGTAACATAAGGAAGGTGACATCCCACTATGCATACATCCCCTATACTCCCTATATAACCCTTACTATGATATTATATATATATACACGTACCTATATATATATACACACATAAATATCCTAAACCCTAAACCCTATATAGCCCTATCGAACCATGGACGCGAAACCTAGGAAGCTGGTTCTTCAAGGCATTGTGGCTGTTTATGTCCCGACCTTCTGCTACTGGGCATCCAAGTCTTGCACAAGCTGTGAACAGCTTTACGAGGACGCGGTTTAGGGTTTAGGGTTGCGAACAGTTTTACGAGGATGCGGCAGAGCAAGGTTGGGAGAAAGCGAACCGCAGCCGAGTTGCAAGATGTCGGGGTGGCCGCACTTTTTTTTTTAAGGGGTGCCCTTTTGAGAGCCCCCATAAGCTGGAATATAAGAGTGGGGGTTGCAATCAGGATCCCAAATTCAGGAAGCCCTCATGGATAAAATAGTATAGTATAGTATAGTATAGTATAGTATAGTAGAATATAGGGATAATGGAAAAGAAGATGGAAACTACTAGAGGGTTTAGGGTTTAGGGATGTTTCCTGGTGTGCGCCGGAAGGACAACATCGCCATTGCTCTTTCCGCTGTGACTTTTTTGCTCTGCTCCTTGACTACAGGTAGTCGGAACAACGGCGGTGCCACGCCCCCTTAATGATACATCTCCCTCCATTACATAGTATACAAGAGTATTCTGCTAGGAATGTTCAGTTTGGCCTATACCCTAAACACTATAGTAGTTTCTATTTGCTTCTCTATTATCCCCCCTATGAACCCTGACAGTGCTACCGAGGTTCCTTCGCCATAATGTTTGTCTTTTACTTCGAGTCTGGCTACCGTCACCACTTGGAGAAGACCGAGCCTTTGCCTGGGTCCTAGCTGGCCACTTTAAAGCGACCTCACCCGACCTCGCCCTAAATGGTGGTTAATATACTAAACCCTAAGCCCTAATCCCTAAACCCTAAACCTTATAGGAACTAGTACCAAAATGGCCTTAAATTGGGAACTGAATTCGTTCTAAATTGAATTGCGCTGTCCTAGTCGTTGCTGTGGTCGACCTGCAATGTGAGCAATGTCTAAACTCCTTTTCAGGGAGTGAGGTAGGGGATTATGTAGGTTCAGGGTTTAGGATCTAAACTCGTTAAAGGGAGTGATATAGCGGATTATGTAGGGAGTATTATAGGGGTTATCAAGGGGGATGCTAGGAGTTTAGACTAGCACATGTGGCAAACTCACCATGGTTCTGTATCCCAAGACAAGACGTTCATGTACTCCATTGTTTTTGTTTGTCTTTGGAATTCCTGGCTGTCTGGTGGCCAGCAGAAAAGGAAGGAAGGAAGGGTTCCTTAAAGTATTGTCCCTAAACCCTGAAACCCTAAACCTAAACCTTGAAACCCTAAACCTTAGAACCCTAAACCTTAAAACCCTAAACCCTAAACCTCAAAACCCTAAACCCTTCACCTCGCTTGCAATACAGTCCCCATATTCATCTTTCCTCATCCGATGCCAACCGCCAGTTCCTGAGGTGGAAGTTTCTGGGCGTCAAAGGCAAGAGTTGCCGAGCAAAGCTCTCCCAACAATTCTGGGTTTAAGGTTTAGGGTTTAGGGTTTTAGGGTTTTCAGGGTTTAAGGTTTAGGGTTTAGGGTTCAGGGTTTAGGGTTTTAGGGGTTAGGGTTTTAGGGTTTTAGGGTTTTAGGGTTTCGGGTTTAGGACCTTAATAATGCGTGCTGATATATGGGGGATTATGCAGGGCTTCGGTTTAGAGCTTAAGGTTTATGGTCTAAACTCCTAAAGGGGTGAACCGTGATACTATTTTGCGACGATGTATTCCTAGTTTGTGTTTTTGGCGAGAAGGGGATCACAACACATGCCAAGGCTTCTCAATGCATTCCCAAGGCTTGCCCAGACTTGCGAGTAGCTGTCATATCAGGACAGGGAAATTTTTTGGTTTCTGCCCCAGAAAACCTTTCTGGGGGTCCTTAAAATGTGGATTATAGTACTTTGCTACCATTCATGACTGGATCCCAACAGCAAGGTTTTACTGAGACATGTCTATCTGAAAGTTTCACCCAAGAGCCCCTGCCACATCTATAAACGCACTCACTAAGATCCGTATGCCTCCATATTTCCGTTCACTCCTGGAGGGGCAGCCCCAACACCTAAACAATAATCCCTGGACCGTACTTAGGGTCTACGGTTTAGGATCCAGGGTTCAGGATCTACGGTTTAGGGTTTAGGGTTTATGATTTAGGGTTTAGGCCCTTAAAAGAAGGCCCCATGCTGCTTTGCCCAGAGGCATTGTGTCCGTGACCTATTTTCAATGGCTGGTTATCTCTGCGCTTGCCTCGCCGCTCAAGTGGACTTCGAATCAGGCGGGCATTTCCTGAATTGCTGTGAAGGAACTTAAGCTGCCCTAACAATGAATTTTTCTATTTTGAAAATATTCATACTATTTATAATAACAATGATAAGAATAACCAAAAATACAAATAGTATAAGTAGATATACAATTAGTAACATGGATTCCTTGAAGCACTAGCTGACTTTCAGTTCCATAACAGCTACCAAAGTTCTGCCTTTGCTGCAGGGTTTACAAGCTTTTGCACTGCACCGGGCTTCATGAACCCACCGTGTTTCTTGCATTTCAACCAGGTCTACCTTTTCCACTGCAGCTTGGACTTATTAGAGTCGCGGCTACCGCATTGAAAGCCTTGGGTGTGGGATGGTTGGTTATATTCCCCCTTAAGTAGATAGAATATGGCTTTGGGTATATTACAGTGAGATCCCATATACCCCATATTCTATCTACTAAAGGGGCCCGGGACTATAGTGCTTCCGCGAATCTAAGGCCTCCTTTACGCTTTCTGGATGCCGCTGCTGGCGCTGGTGCATACCTTTCTTGTGTCCTGGGCTTTTTTCTAGGAATTTCCGTCTGTACGAGGGGCCGCCCTCACAATCCTGATGCTAGTCACACATTCAACTTGAGGTGCGTGTGCAATTTCTCATGTAATCCATCCGAAAGCCAGTTTGGAACACCCTGACCCCTGAACCCGAAACCCTAAAACCTAATTAAAGCATATTCCCTAATCTTCCGTAGGAACTGAGGCCTACCATGCGCACTTTCATCCAGCATCCGTACGAACCTTGAATAAGACACCATCTGAGGCTTATCCCTTCTATTCCTTCCGCCGTTCTGAGCAGGACTGGCGGGTCCATGCACACGTACACACATTCCCAATGCTCTTCAACTAGTATTGTTGTTAGCATGAGTCTTGTTCGTGTGCCTACTCTTCTTGTTGTTGTTCTTCTTATTGCTAAGGTTATTGCTGTGACTTTTGCTGGAGCTATTGCTGTTATCGCTGGTCTGAAAGCATCCTATGGAACATTTCCTATTTCCGTACTCGAGGGCTGATAGCGGGCTTGGCATATACAAATCATGGTGTTCTTTGTGTGCTGTTCTTGGTGTATTTCATGTTGGTTGCTACTGCAGTCAAGTATGCATTAATGAATACGTTTATTCTTGCTATTGTTGTGGGTATTGCAATGGGTACTACGGTATTCTTGTAGTAGTAGTAGTTATCCTTGTGATGTTCTCGTTCACTGTTACGCCTCCTGCACGGGGATGGCTAGCTTTGCAAATATGATCCCTATCATATAAAGTAATTTTCCAAAACAGCGGGACCCCAAAAAGGACTCCAATATACTCTAATCCTTATTATGGGGACTCCCAAAAATACCCATAATTTTGGGAAACCACCATAAGGATCCAGCCTAATCCCCCAAGAATCCTTCCATATTTCAAGCCCCTAGGGTGCCCCAATTTCAAGCACCTGAACCCAAGTGATGAACGTATGATGAATGCACAGCTTTGGTCAATTTCTTCCCCCCCCCCGGCAGTAGCAGTTGGACTCTAATCTACTTTGTATATACATATATAGATGCCTTAATATACCTTAACACTCTAACAAATTTATATATATATATATGTATAGCGAGAGAGAGGCCTCAACATGCCTTAACAGTACCCCCCCCCATTATTGACAGTTACCGGTTTGGGAGGGAAGCCTACGAGGCCGAAGGGGCCCTGGCCCCGATGGCGCCCTGGCTTTTGACCTGGCTGAAGACGTTGGAAGAGCCAAGTGAACAGCGAAGGGCGGAGCGAGGGGGAGCAGAGGACTCAGGGCTCAGGTTTAGGGTTTAGGGTTTAGGGATGAGGGTTTAGGGATTTAGGGTTTAGGGTTTAGGGATACATACCCCAATAATGGAGAATCAAATGGAAAAGTACATGGCAATTGAAATGGAAACTGGACCTGTGGAATTTCCAATAGGAGTTTCCCAACGTCCTGGATGGTCCCTGTGAGTTTCTCTAGTAGGGATTATAGTATTTTGGGGACCCTTGCAATGGCACTTTATTCTTCCTAGGGTGCCTAGGAGTACTTTCTGTTGAGAATCACACAAACCTTCGTAGCTGGGCTTTCCTTAGTGAAGGAGTGCCTAACGCCTTCGACGGCTTCCTTGCCATCAATTTCAGGAACCATAGACAGTCGCAAGGATGCATTGACTTATAGTCCCCCTTAAGTAGACAGAATATGGCTTCGGGTATATGATAATTAAAATCCCCATATACCCCATATTCTATCTACTTAAGGGGACTATAAACGGTCTTGGCTATGCTCATATTTACGCATGCGGATCATTGGGCCAAACCGAAAGCAACGTCTAAGGTCGCTCAGAGGTACTCCTGGACCAGGGGCCCTGCGAGGATGTGAGAAGTAGCCGAATCTTGCATGATGGGTTTAGGGTTTAGGGTTTAAGTTACCATGTTATGGGTGCATAGTATATGCTAGGGTTTCCTTACTAGTGCCCCTAAGCCCTAAACTGTATGTACCCTACATAGTCTTAGTAAACTGGAGCGACGGATTTTGTTGGATACGCTTTGGTGCTTCGCCGAGGAGTTTCGCCGGAGCTTCGGCAGCCAATCTCTGCCAAGTGGTTGTTACTCTATTTCGTAGTTGCCGTGCTCTCCTGTCTAGCAGCCGGGCAGCAAAGGATCTGAATGCCAATAGGCTTCAGAGCCTGGTGTCGTGTGAAGGCTTCAAAGGTTTGAAACAACCAGCTTTTGGTAAATCTGTCTGTAGTTGTATAAAAGTCTTACCCATTAAAGGGGTTATATAGCTTTACAATGGAGAAACACATGGAAAAGAACATGGAACATGAAATGGAAACTGGGGTTATACAAGGGCTGCAAGACATGATTTGTGAGAAATATTCACCTCAAACCCTAAACCCTGTACCCTGAACCCTAGACCCTTTACTCTAAACCCAAAGCCCCTGGAGTAAACCCAAGACCCTTAACCCATTAGCCTGAACCCTCAACCCTGAGCCCTAAGGCAAGCTCCAAAGCGCTGTTGACAGTCCTCCCGCCCACTGCGGCGCCTTTGGAGGCAAGACTGAGAACTCCAAGCGTTTGGCCAAGACGTTGAAAGATCTTGTAACACAATTTGAAACTTAGCTGGGAATGAAGGCATGGAAAAGAAAATGGAAACTACCATACTGGGGTTAAATAGGGTTTAGGCCTTGGGGTTCAGAGTTTCGAGATGCTTCGGATCTTGTAACACTTTCTGGAATAGGAGCCGTATAGTATTGGGGGCCTGACAAGGGGACCATAATTTTGAGAACTGAGCAGCAGCCTCGTAGCAGTTTCGTGGTTTACTGCCTGCGCGCTTTCACTTGAGTGATGCATAGGGCGGTGTAGGGAAGTGTATACACCTAGATCATCCCTCAATAACTCGCTTAGGGTTTCGGGTTTTAGGGCTTGGGAGCACTAAATCTATGTTCCCTCCACTGCCCTTTAAGCAGTAGTAAGTTGATGCGCAGCTCCATGGCAGGCCCCACTTCGAAACATTTCATGTGCAGGCCGGGGGGGTGCGGGGTGGGTCCGGAGCGTCAGGGGCATATAGCCATCCTACTGGAATCAATTCTTTCCTCAAGGGCGCAAATGATGTATAATATGTACATAGGTATACACGCAACACATTTGTAAAGATATTTCATTTTTCACACACACACACACATACACATCTGCAATTATAAAGATGGTGAAAGTACTTTGGGAATGTAGCAGCCTTGATTTCTTTGTCTTTCCTGGGCTTCGGCAGGTCAGGGTGACCTCGCGCACTTCCTGCTCACGCGCCAGGACGTCCCAAGATCCCTAAACCCCAAACCCTAAATCTTAAATCAAGAGAAACCTGGCAGTTTGGTGGCTCTGCAGTTGAGGGTCTGGGATGAACCCACACAAGCCATAGTCTATACTCCTTAAAGGAGGGTTATATAGGGATTATATGGGGGATTACTACAGGGATTGTTACGGGGGGATACTAGGAGTTTGGATTGTTTTGGCCACGATCCCGCGTGAACTGAAGGACTTGAATTTTGCGATGCTGAATGACACAGCAGAGCGCTGGTTAGGAGCTGAGAAACTTCCCAGGCCAGGGTTTTTAGGTTTTAGGTTTAGGGTTTAGTAGGGATTAAAGGAACATAATCCCTATATAATATATTCCGGTATTTCCTACCCTACACCCTAATCCCTGATCTTCATATAACATATGCCGATTCCCTGACCGATATAATCCCTGTACAATTTCTTCCCTTATTCCCTACTAGCCCCGGTGAGTTTTCGTCCCCCTTATTTAGATAGAATATAGTTTGGGGTATATTATAGTAAGATCCCCATCTACCCCATGTTCTATCTACTGAAGGGCGACTGTAGGTTTAGGGTTCGCACATTTTTTGTGTGCCGGACTGTAGATCCGCTCATGTTGAAGGCGCTGCAGAGCGGCTCATATTCGTTCGTTAGTTTGGGGTTTTAGGGTTTAGGATTTAGGGTTTGGGGTTTAGGTTTTAGGATGTAGGGTTTAGGATTCTGGGTTTAGGGTTCCTACACTCATTCACATGCGAGACTCACGGTTCTAATGAAGGTGTACGCGCGCTAAACATATTCGAAAGGGGAAAACAGTTCCCAAACATGCCTGGTGGAGCAAAACTACTTTCCCAAGCATGCCCTCGCCTAAGCCTTAAGGCCACTTAAACCTTAATACCCAGTCCCTGAACCCTGAAACCCCAACCCCTAAACCCTAAAAACACCAACCCCTAAAGCCTGAAACCCCAACCCATAGTATATTATATAATATATCATAGTATAATATGGTATATTATAGTTAGTATAGTATCATATCTTTCAGTTTATTATAGGATATTTCCTAAACCCCAAACCCCCTGGCCTTCCTGCTCTGGGCCTCCCAGGTCCTCTCCGGGAGTAGCAGGTGCCTGGCTGCCTCTGTGCTCGGCCACGCCGTTGGGCTGCGCGCCAGGTGAAACGGGGACACGAAGTCCACCGCAAGAAGGGGCTAAAGGGTTCAAACTTTAAAGCTTAAATTGCTTATGGTAACCCTGAAGTAGATAGAATTGGCTTTGTGTATATTGTAATAAGATCTCCATATGCCCCATATTCTATCTACTTAAGGGGGGCAATAGGGGTTTCAGGGTACATGGCGAGGTTCTAGATTTAATGCAAGTGTGGAGCCAAGATCCAAACAGTCCATGTCACCATTGCCAGCAACCGTACCTGTCTATGCCCAGCTTCTGACTCTTATGGAGACCTTTCTGCAGGGGTTGGGGTTACCAAAATCCCCTTAGTACAACATGAATCCTTACAGAACTCCTATGTGACCACAGTTTCCGCTCCGTTATCAAAAGGCGTATCCACCTTAAGTAGATAGAATACGGGGTATATGGGGATCTTACTGTAATATACCCAAAGCCATATTCTATCTACTTGAGGCGGATTACTAAAACCTTTTGTTTGATCCGGGCCACAGGCCACTTCGCAGATCGCCGGCCGCCCTCTGTGGGCTGCTCCGCTGAAGGCAGTTATTTTCCTTATTGCTCCTAAAGAGGAGTGGAGAGAGTCCACACTAACCTCAAACTCAATGTCTAGGGTATTATTCGAGGTAGGACTCCGCAAGTAAGTACCACAGAGCTGATGCAACATCTGGCATCGGATCTAATCCCATGTTCTACTTGAAAACAAATGGCCCTCGGACCTCTTCATCCCGCTGTAGTTGTGGGGCTTAGATGTAGGACCCTATGATGAAGCATTGAAGATTCACTCTTCCCTGACCCTAAATCCTAAACCCCAATTCCTAAGCCCTAAACCCCAAACTCTGAATCTCGACACAGGGGTCTACACCTGGCATGGCTCCTGCAATGCTATCTCCTGTGGGGCTCCACCGCACTTGCCACATGCGGTTCCTAGGATGCATGTGCCTCGGCGGTGTGTGAATTGATGGGTTTAGGGTTTGATTTGGGTTCTAGGGCTCATGGGGTTCAGGGTGGTAGGGTTTAGGTCTTTAGGGTTCAGGGTTTAGGGTCCGAAGGATGCATGTGCCTCAGCGGCTGTGGTAGTGTCCATAAAGACCACTATAGACTTCCCAAGTACCATGACCTTCATTATAATAGAGACTCCTAAAGAGGTAGCCTTTTTTTTTGGGAACCTCCCATGTGTTTTCAGAGCATTTGGCTGTCAAGACATTCGGGCAGAGCCATGCATACAGTATCATTCAGCATCATACAACACCGTCAGCTCCAATGTCAACGAGCTTTGTGAGAACTGGCGCCCTAAACCCTACACCCTAAACCCTACCGTAGGGGGCTTGATGTGGGCAGCCACAGGACATCGAACGTCAGAACTGGACCTATGGTGTGACCATTCACTATGACTGTGCGCCGAACTCAGCTGCAGCTTCTTTCATTTTGTCAAACTGGGCTAAGCTACTCCTAACTTTTACTTACTCGTTGTTACTAGGGAATAAAGGAATAGCATCCCTATATAATCCCTATGCAACATATTCCATAATCCCTACTAATCACCAGGAAGTTCAACTGAGTGAGCGGAGGACAAGCCTGGGTATCATGGCGATTTGAGTGCAGACTGCAACCTGACTGGGACCCTAGGCTGCAACTAGTTTTGTGCCAGGCTTCTATAGAATCATGCCGTTGCTGCTACAAGAGTAGCAGTGGTCGTTGCCTTCGTGCAAAAAAACGAGAGGACGCGACCCTGCAGTTCCAGGGATCAGACAGCAACGCAGGCGATGGAGTAGGTTCGGTACTTCATGA